GGATGAGAGGAAACTTGCCAGGTACAGAAAGAAAGTTTACTTAACAAGCACAGTGGGTATCTTGACTTGTCTACGTATCGGGCATGTTAAAGAAATGGTGGGAAGGGTTTGCTACTTACATCTCGGTTCTTATGGGAAGAAGGCAGACGGTACCGGCTGCTTTCTCTGGCTAGCATGTAGCTAGTGATAGAGTGCTTGCCTAGAGTACTGCTTACTTTTTTTTTTTTTTTTTAACTTTATTTATTTATTATAAGTACACTGTAGCTGTCTTCAGACACCCCACAAGAGGGCATCAGATCTCATTGCAGATGGTTGTGAGCCACCATGTGGTTGCTGGGATTTGAACTCATGACCTCTGGAAGAGCAGTCAGTGCTCTTAACCACTGAGCCATCTCACCAGCCCCGAGTACTGCTTACTTTAATATCCACTTGACACAGCTAGAGTCATCAGAGACGAGGGAGTCTCAAGTGAGAAACATTTCAAGAAGCAGTGTAGGCGATGCCCAACACCCATGTGGAGGATCCACCTGGGAGGAGATGTGCAAGAACTCCTAGATGATTTGCCACTGGCTCTGCAGACCACCTGCCGACATGAGATGGGGTGGGAGGAGAAGGAAGCGCTGACCATTGAGTCATTTCACTCCGAAGTGCAGGTTCTGTGCCTACTGACAGAGCTCATGGTCATGACTACCAAGCTGTCCCTGGAGCCCCGCAGGAATGTCACACGGGCAGACCGCAGCAGCCTTAATAAAATAAAAAGTCCAGGGAGAGACCCAGGTTGCCTCTGCCTGTAGCCAGTGATGCTTTTTTCTGTGCAGGTGTGGACCTATAAGACTGAAGCGAGGAGCATGTTCCCTTCAAGGAGAGCACACCAGGCACCTCACATGTCTGTGTGTTATAAGCACTTTACAGACTGTATTCACAAATCCTTTGTTTTGCAGGATAGCCTCATTTATCATTTAATATTTAAAAACGAAAGTGTTTGCATTGAGAAAGGCCAGGTATTGCCGGGCGGTGGTGGCGCACGCCTTTAATCCCAGCACTTGGGAGGCAGAGGCAGGCAGATTTCTGAGTTCAAGGCCAGTATGGTCTACAGATTGAGTTCCAGGACAGCCAGGGCTACACAGAAACCCTGTCTCAAAAAAAACCAAAGAGAGAGAGAGAGAGAGAGAGAGAGAGAGAGAGAGAGAGAGAGAGA